TTTTTATTTTTTAATATAAATTAATGATTAAAATGTATATTAATTACACAACCAATACAATTAGAAAAATTCATAAAAAAAAGCTTAACGGGACTTAATTAACCCCGGTTAAATATCATTAACGCTAACCCTTCTGAATTTCCGGTTTATTTAATTCGCGAATCAGAAACGCCCATTCGCCAAAAGCGTTCCACTTGCTTCTCCCACTCTCTCAACATTTCCCATTTCTCCTCTCCCCCAGCCTCACATCCTCCCATCATTTTCTCTTCTCCTTCTCCATCATCTTCATCTTCATCTTCTTTGTACATGTAGTACAGTTAGGGTTAGGGTTTTCTGTTTGTGCAATACTAGTTCTAGGGTTTTTTTTGTTTGTTTCTAAAATTTTTTCGACTACAGTACGAATCCGTTCTTGTATACCATTTTAATTCTTGTAATAGTTTGAATCGGATGTTTATTTGATTTTTGTAATGAGTGAGTGCTTAGAGATTTAGGGATTTTGGATTCCCTTTTTTTTTTTCCCTTTTTTTTTTGTTAAATTATTTGCATGTTTGTCGAGATGGAGAATCCTCGTAGGCCGTTTGATAGATCCAGGGAACCTGGCCTAAAGAAGCCGCGATTACTCGACGACCCTGGTCCTAACCCTAATGGTCGGCCCTTTGCACAGAGGCCGGTTGGTTCGGTACCGGCGGCGGTGAGGTTCAGGGGTGCTGATTTGGAAAGCAATGACCCCAGCCGTGGCGGGGCGTACGAGCCACAGCCACCTCCTCAGCAGCAGCATCACGAGCTTGTTAGCCAGTACAAGACTGCTATTGCGGAGCTGACATTCAATTCGAAGCCGATAATTACTAATTTGACAATAATCGCTGGGGAGAATCTTTTTGCTGCCAAATCCATTGCTGCCATTGTCTGCGCCAACATTCTTGAGGTGAACCCAGTATAGCTGTTTGTTAAACTTCTGTTGTTTAAATTAAATTGTAAGTGGAAAAAGATGCGATTAGGATAGTGATTATTAGTGCGGTTTTCTAGTGGAATAACGGAAGAAAATATAAGTTTGTTTGTAAGTGTGAATTGGGATTAATGAAATCTCTCTGGTTTTGGATTAATTAGTCTTCGTGTTGGATGTGGGGTTTCAAAAATGTTCATGGAAGGTCTGGTCCCGTGTTCAGATTATGTGCATTATCCATAATAAGACTGGAATGAGAGGTGGAGCAGATGTGGGTGAATGAGTTGTGTAAAAGAATGAGAATTTTGAGATGGCTTCTGGTCTGTTTGAATCTCAGGCCTCTTTTCTGTGTGTTTGCCCACAACTGCACCTGACCAGCTATATAATATTCCAGTTGATTTGCTTGGATGCTTTGTCCAAAATTTCACACATGCATTACATGCTAGGAATTCCGAGAGTTATGTATGACCAACTACATGATATTCACTTAGTGTTCAATGGGAGACCGTTTCCTCTAAGATTATGGGATTTGTAGAAAATGAGTTCTGTAGTATTATTTTTGTAACATGGTATATCCATTGTATCATTGCAGGTCTGATTAGACAGAATAGTATGCTGTGTTGTACTTTGTTATTTCCCATGCCCACTCCCCACCAAGGAATAATAAAAAAAAAAAATGAAACACATATTTCAACTTGAATGGGATACTGTTTCACTTGCTTGTATTTTTCATGCTTCAGTTTGGATCTTGATATGTAAAGGTGGAAGCACCACCCACTTATGAAGAGCTTGGACTGAGTTCATGGGTTGTGTATCTTGCCCTATCAGCCTTTCCTTTATAATGCGTAAAATGATAAACTAAGAGAAGGTGGACGAGGGAAGTGCCTGTGGAATATTGTTTAGTATATTGAAGGAGCTGGAAGAAATTGGACTTGTATCATTATGAAGAAACTTGAAGCAGAAAGTAGGAGAAACTTACAATAATCACAGACATATAGACATGAAGACAGCTCTTAAGGAGAGGAGTTGAAGGCTCCAGCAGATGGATTTGTGGATGTATTTTTTTATTGATGTTGAGCTGTCATTGATGCAGTTTCCAATTCTTGTTATCATACGAAGGATATCATCTTGTCTGTTTGGAACTGTTAGTTCTGTATTCATCAATCCTCTGCTTGTGCTTTAACTCTCCTCCCCATTTTTGCATTATTACCTCACCTGGTTTACTATTATCTTTTAAATGAATACAAAGGCAATTAATTCCACTTTTTACATTTTGGCCTGCTTGGGTTTCTTTGACTGCTTCATATGATATCTGATTATCAAAATGACTTGCAGGTTCCGAGCGACCAAAAGCTGCCATCACTCTATCTTTTAGACAGTATTGTGAAGAATATTGGGAGAGATTACATAAAATATTTTGCAGCCAGACTACCTGAGGTTAGGTTCTTATACTTTCTATGTTGTCTCGTTGAAACGTTATACATGCTTGTGTGTCTATTATATGGTTTGTTTTCATGTTGTATTGCTTCACATTTATGCTTATTTCCTCCATTTTAAGGTATTCTGCAAAGCTTATAGGCAGGTTGATCCCTCTGTGCATCAAAGCATGCGGCATCTTTTTGGAACATGGAAAGGAGTTTTCCCTCCACAGCCACTCCAATTTATTGAGAAGGAACTTGGCTTTGCTTCAACAACAAATGGTTCGTCATCAGGGGCTGCAACATCTAGATCTGATGCACAGTCACAGCGGCCACCACATAGCATTCATGTAAATCCTAAGTACCTAGAAAGGCAGCGTCTTCAGCAGTCCAGCAGGGTAAATTCTATGATATATATATATATATATATTTTCTCTATAACATGAGGAACCATGTTAGTGAAGTAATCATCTGCAAGGTCTGATGTTTTCACATCAAGTTGAATTATTGAAGGATCAGGAAGTGAGCATAAAAAAGCGTTTCTTCAGATCTTTGACCTTGCAATTTGTCTCATGAATATTGGGATAAATTTTACCACATTTTGTTGAAAACTTCTGCCACCATTATAATCCTTGGACATAATATCCTATGTATCCCTTTTATTCTTGACCTTCTTTTGAGCTCCTCTAGCATGTTCGTGCAGATCCTGTTGCTTTTCATTTTGTCAGTTTCATTTGTATCCATGGAAGACAATAATCATTACCGTATGGATGAACCACAAAACTAAGAAACTTTGAATGTGTTATGGAGAATACCGACTAGCTTGAGAAAAGTGGAAAAATACTATTATCTCTCTATTTCTGTTCTTTGTGTGAATATTTATTGTTGTAAGGATAAATCTGTGCAATATGTCACCTATTATATTTTTTGGGATTATAATATGCTTCCTCATCACTTTTTATTTTACTAAAAGTTTTGTTTAATGATAAACTAAATTTTATTTGAAGGCAAAAGGAATCCTTAATGACATTTCTGGAGCCATGACTGATGTAAAGGAAGATGCTGAAAGGTCAGGTCGAGCAGCCATTATTTCTACTGGAAGGCCATGGATGGATCCTTCTGACAAAATGAATGTATGTAGATTGATTTTTAGTTTGGAGAAGTTAAATGTTCAATTTTCATGGTTTTTTTTTTCTTTTACTGAAACGGCAGCATGAAAAAAATTTCAGAGCCTTCAGCATTCTCATAGAGATGCACTAAGTGGGTCTCTTCATGAGAAGAGCATTACTGCTGCATATGGAGACTATGAGTATGGTTCAGATCTTTCTCAGAATTCTGGCTTGGGTATTGGAAGAAATGGTGGCAGGATTACTGATCAAGGACAGGATAGACCTTGGTATGGCACTGGAAGTAGTGTTCAAGAGACAATGTCCAGTCAAAGGAATGGTGTCGATGTCAAGCCTGGATTGCAAAATTCCTCAGTGTCCAAACCTGTAAATGCTGATCCTCGTTTACGTGCAGCTCAAAACATTGCAAATAGAAGCAATGGCGGATCGCCTACTAGCTGGAAAAACTCTGAGGAGGAAGAGTTCATGTGGGATATGCATTCAAGATTGTCAGATCAAGATGTATCCATTATCTCTAGTAACTCTAGGAAAGAAAGCTGGATGCCTGATGAAGCAGAAAAATTGGTAAGCTTGTGAGAATAGGATTGTTGATGGTAACTCCTATTTTTTATGGGATATGTCAATTTTATGACTCCAATTCTTCTAGAAGAGATTATTTCTTTTTCACAAATCACAATTTTGTTTTGGCCAACTTCACAAATTACAGTCGGGGCCAAAAAATTTGTGAAAACACTTTTTGAATACCCTTCTGAATACCTTCTGTTGTTGCTGGTTGTTTGTGCAAGGTATAAGTCTTTAGATTAACTACACTTAATTGTATGGGAAAGACAAAATACTTCTAGGTGTATATGTTGAATGAAGGATGGGTTTCTGTTCAAAGATACTCCATTCATGATAAACAATTTTGTAAAGGCTTACTGGCCTGTCTTGTTTGTACTTAGTGCTGTTGGTTTTGTTGATTGAATCTTGTCTTATTTCTCACTGTTTTATGCATGTAAAAATGATGATTAAAGAATGAAAGCTGACATGAGTCCTTGTGTTGCTGCCCCAATGAATAAGAGTTCTAGTTTTGTCTATATTTATTTATTCTTTTCTGCATTTTTACATTCTAGAATTATCAGCTTTGGACCATTTTATTTTTAGTTTTGAGTAGCTTCCTCAGTAGCTGATGCCTTTTCAATTGCAGGAGTTTGGAAATCACCTCAACAAAACAAAAAGTATTCATGAAAGAGAAGCTTCTGCTGATTCACAACTAACTGAGCGGAATGACCAAAATTCTTATGGATCCTGGATGTCACCTTCATGTTCTCTGCAGGAGTCCCACAATGTGGATAGATCAATTCATGCTGCAGTATCTACTATTAATTCTGTTAATCCAGAGAGCTATTCTGCCACTATTAGCAGGTTGACAACAAGTACAGGTTCCTCTCTAGCCAGAAGGGGAGTTCGACAACAATTTGGTTTATCCCAAGTTGATAACTCTGGCTTTAATGTTTTAGCAAGTTCATCACCACCCAGACAGTCTCCCATGCACCAACGTTCTCCTTCACCTTCCTTTCCAGCTCGCCATCCCCATCAACAAACACAGAATTTGGTGGAGGAAGACTATCCACAAGCTCGCTCCTTGTCTCAGCCTGACTCTAAACCTTCTCAGTTTTCAGGGCATTTGAATACCCGATCTCACAATCGTTCTGCTATTCAGGCTTCATCTGCTTCATTGCCATCTTTTCAATCAAGCCAGCATGTTTCACAGTCTCTACAGTCAGATTATTTGAAGGCTGAGCATTCTGGTGAGACACAAAAAACACGGTTACCTCCAATCTCTAGATTTGGAGCATCCTCAAAACTGGGAAATATGTCAGATCATTTAGATCCTCATGCTGTTGAAATTTCAGGATTGTCTGGCACAAGTAGTTTGTTGGCTGCTGTCATGAATAGTGGAATCCTCTCTAAAAATGCGATCACCAGCAGCCAACCTAATCAGAGTGTTTTTGATTTGAAGCAAATGCCATCACAACCGTTCTCCCATCCTTCTTTGCCAAGTGGACCACCCCCAACTCTCCCTGCAGCCTCAGGGGCAGGGGGGGATTCTAAAGCATTATCAAACCCTGCTTCTAATGATGTAGTTTCAGTTGCTACAAATATTTCTCAGGGAAAAGGTGAACAGCCACCTTTGCCACCTGGTCGACCACCTTCATCAGCACAACCTGCAGTCAAAAGTAAGGCCTTAAACCCAATTTCAAACCTTTTGAGCTCTTTAGTTTCCAAAGGTTTGATATCTGCCTCAAAGACAGAGTCTCAATCTGTCCCACCACTGCAGATGCCTACTCAATTGCAGGACAAGAGCCCAGGCATCTCTACCAGTTGCTCTCTGCCAGTTTCTTTAGTTTCAGTTTCTTCAGATACTCCCTGTTCCTCCACCAAAGATGATGTAGTGTTGACTGAACCAGCTGCCAATAGTTCTTCTAGCTTGTCACAGTCCTCCACAATCGACATGGAAAATCTCATAGGACTGGAGTTCAGACCAGAAGTTATACGAGAGTTTCATTCATCTGTGGTCAATGCATTATTGGATGACCTCCCCCATCAGTGCAGTTTATGTGCTCTTCGACTTAAACTCAAGGAACAGCTGGATAGACACTTAGAGTGGCATGCTATGAGAAATCCAAATGCAGATGAAGTGATTGGGCCGTTGAGAAGATGGTATGCAAGCTCAGGAGACTGGATTGCTGGAAAGCCTGGACAATTAAAATTTGAACCTGCTGGTTGTGTACTCCAATCTCAAAAGACAATGGAGAAGGGTGAGCCGATGGTCCCTGCAGATGAAAATCAGTGTGCATGTATTTTATGTGGTGAGTTGTTTGAAGATTATTTTAGTCAAGAAAGGGGTGAGTGGATGTTTAATGGGGCAGTTTACATGACAATCCCAACCAAGGATGGTGATGTAGGGACTTTGGATGAGAGTGCTGCCAAGGGTCCTATTGTTCATTCAAATTGTATATCAGAAAGTTCGTTGCATGATCTGGGACTGGCCACTGGTGTTAAAACGGTATGGTCTTGACCTTTGAAGCACACCTTATTGTATACCTCCTTCCAGGAAAGATTAGAGCTATTCCTATTTAAGGGCCTTTCTTGATAACTGACAAATTTTGCCTGAATAATTCTTCTCTCTGCATCATAAAGCTTTAGCTTTTGGACTTGATTGATTGGTAACATTTCACCTGATTCTGTCTCCTGTTTTTTGGTGGGTAGGAAAAGGATGTATGATGCTTTTAAGCTGAAGGTGAAGCCGTCTGGAGCAGGTACCAATATAGAAGCCAAAAGAGAAATCAAAGTTTTCTTTTCATGGCTTAATTGTCCATGACCCTGTGCCTCCTAATTTTGTTGTGCCTTGAAATGTTGCTGAGAGCTGTTTGCTAGATATTCTTGCCTTTTTTTTTTTTTACATATAAAAAAAGAAAAGAAAAGAAAAGAAAAAAACTCATCATTTTCTGAAATTATAGCCTGATAAAATAGATATAAATGCCATATGGTTGCCTCAATTTTCTTCACTGATGCAGACTTATGTGTTCTTTATATTCTGATGTTGATTTTAGCAAAGCAAGTTTGCACTTGATAACGTAAGGGAGAGCACCCTGCCCGTATCCATTCAGCTTCACAATTGGTGGATGGCAAGCCCATGTATGACTGAATTTTAATCAAGACAAGACTTTCCATTTTACCACATTTTTCCCTATTGTAGTTTTCGCACTGCCTGTTTGGCGGGAGCCTGTGTTTAGGCTTTGATAATAGTTAAGCACGTTTTCTATAGTTGCAGTGGTTAAGCAAAACAGCATGTCTTCTTGATTGCCAGACTGATGAATTCTTTCAAGTGGTATTGTTACTTTATCATTTCTCAGGATATATTGTTTAAGCGTGTTTTCTATCCTTGTGTTCCTAAGCCAAATATTGTGCTCGAACTATTCCTCTTGTAACAATTAGAAGGCCGTATTTTACTCCTTTCTCTGCCCTTTCGGTTGCCTTATGAAAGAGTTGTGTTTCAGTGTTATATTTGATTCACTTAAGAGGCTTGTGCTCTTAGAGATCTCAAGTGCATACTGCCAGTCTTTTAACTCTTTTCTACTTACATTCCTTTTCTTTGGTTCGGATAATCAATTGTCTACAGGATCCACGCAGCAGGTGCCAGGCCAAGAAACAGCTTAATCCTAGATATTGGCCTTTGAGGTTCATTATTTCACACAACAAAGGTAGCTTGGTTCTTTGTGTGACCAGAGACGCTGCTTGTTTTCCTTGCAACCTGCCAAAACGTACATCAGGTTTGTTTTCCTTGCAACATCTCTTAGTTGTTGAATATGATCATTTCCTGGTTATCCAAAGAACCAAGATGATCATCTTTAACCGCTATGAGATATCTGCCGTGCTCTTAAAGCCAAGGGTATTAACAATTGTTCTGGGAAGACAATTATGTTGGATGTCTAGCAGGAAGCAAGATGGGTAACATTTGACGGAAATATTATGAGGATACCTAGAACAAAATAATTTGCAGAACATAATATTTCAGCTGGAGCATGCCTGATTTGCAGGATTTGTAATTAGTCTCGTGTTTAGTTTTGAGGCGTCCATCAAGTTTTGGGTATATTAGAAGGATAGCTACTAAGCATCAGGGAGATTTAATTTTTAAATTTTAACTTTAAATCAAAATTTTTAGATTACTAAATATGGATATTAACTCAGGCCCTGTTTAATGGTTTTGAGGGTTTAGTTTTGGTTTCTAAAATTTAAATAATTAAAATTAACAATTAAAAAATTAAAATTAAAATTAAAATTATCATCTTATTGAATATAAAATTTTAAAATAAATATTTAAAACTTAATTAATTTATAGAATTATTTAACTTTATTTTTAAATTTTTAAGTTTTCAAAAATTAAAATAAAAAACTCAAAACTACAATAACTTTAAAAAAATGTATTAGTCAACACGACAATTTATAAACCAATTAGGAGGGAATAAAGGGACCATATCCCTTTTCTTCATTTACTTGCCAATTAAGGGTCAATTAAAAAGCATTTTTTTCCTCAAGGAGTTTTAGCATCTTGTATAGCACATTGCATTATTGTATCCAATTAAGGAGAGAGAAGAAAAGAAAGGACCCCTTCTTTTTTGTCAGTAATAATTTTTAGTCAATACGGCCTGGAAATACTTTTCCTCATCTGAATTAGCAGAAGAGAAAGGAAAACCTCATTTCTTTGCTACATAATCAAATAATAAAAACAGAGGAAATAATTTTTTTTTCTCAATCCCATCCCATTTTGAAAAGGCAAAGAGATGAGAATTACTTAACTTACTCTTCATTCATATATATATAAATATATATATATTATATTATACATATCACAACCATGTAGTGATAACATTTTGTTTCTTTTCTTGACACTTTGGAAACTTATTTCTTTTGATTGGCACAGCTATTATCTATAAGCCCTCAAGGGTGTTGTTTTTGGGTGTAAACATAATCCAAATGAGCTTCTGCAATTATCCTTCTCTTAACACATTCTTCATCCTTCTCGCTGCAGTCCACTGATTCTGATTCTGATTCTAACCCCATCATCTACTCAAAGAATAGATCCCAAGAACGAGCCAAATATCAGAACTTTAAAAAAAAAAAAATAGAGAAATTAAATAAACAATAAGATATGTAGATCTTACATTCAGGAAGTCATCTTCTTTGATTGAACTCGCAAATGAACCATCCTGATGAACAATTTCATTGAATTTCATGTACCCCTTTTCAGTGCCTGTAAATCATATGATATAGAGCTTTACATATCATGATCTGGAGAATCGGAGGCACATAAAATTCAGGTATCGAATATCAACAAGAAACTGTAAAAATAATGAGAAAAAAGGGTTTGAAAGAAACCTTGGTTTTGAGGTGGGAGACGGCTGGCAGAAATTGGGTAGGAGCAAAGGAGAAAAGCAAACAGGAGAAAGACGATGATGAGCACGAGGGAATCCTGCTTCATTTTGCTGTGATTTTTGTTGAGAGAGAGAGAGAGAGAGATGGGGTGAGTATGTGTGTATAAATAAAGGAATGAGGGTTGAATCAAGTGGTAAGTGATTTGTTTCAGTTTAAGTAAAATTTTGAGTTTGAGACTTTGTGCACACAGCAGTTTTTGTTGGAAGACTCACATACTATTTTTAAGTGTGCAACCTGGGTTGATCCGGATTAATCGGAGTAAAGCCTCAAATACCGAATGGAAAACTTAAAAAAACAAAAAAAAAGAAAAACAGGCGTAATAACTAATAAGAGCCATCTTCTCATCTAATCTCATGTAATTTAATTTTAAATTAATTAAAATTTAATATAATTTTTAAATACTCAGAATTAATACCTAAAATAAATAGGGGTTGATGCGGTTGTTCTCAGGTAGTATGTGTAGAACCCAAACACGGCAGTTACAAAGTTACGAACATGGTTTGTGGGACCCATCTCTTGTTTCTATCATCTTTTTCTTCTCTTTGTGCGTGCCCTATAAATTCTTTGTCACGTGGGAAGAGTAGAGAGAAGAACACTGTTTTATTAAGGAAAATAACAAAGAGAACCCTGTTTTTGAGTACTGCACTTGTTTGATGGATATATCTTCCAATATTTATCTTGTTTAATTATTGAATTATATAACAGTTCGCTCTGATTTAATAATATAGACATTAAGTTAAATTATTGAATTATATAATAATTTGTTCTGATTCAATGATATGAACACTAAATTAATATCGTTCACCTCATATGAATGATGTACTTGACTTTTATAGAATCCTTTTATTCTTCTTCCAATTAATTTGTTCAAAAAAAATTATTGAATTATAATATAAATATAATTCATTTGATTAATTTTTATATTTTATATATGTAATTTTATTTTTAAATTTATTTATATTTAATTTTAGATTGAAAAATAATAACTTATAAATAAATATGTTATATAGTTTATTAAAATAAAATATATACATATCAATGTCTAACATTAAAAATATATTTTAACTATTAAAATTATCAAAATATCTTTAATGAATTAACATTTGAGAGTTATATTAATGATATTTCAATAAATTCACAATCTAAATTATGCTTTTAATCTTCAATCATGATTGAAAAACACACTTTGAAATAACAAATGTCATCGTCGGCATTAACATGGTGGAGTTGAACCAGAAGGAGGTTGTCAATATATGGACTTGAATAAATTAGGAGGACAATTTCATATGGAGTTGTTATAGAGGGATGGAGACAGATTTGATATTGAGTACGGATTCTTGTAAGGTTGTTAAGATGTGAATATAATTATATTTAAAATTATTATAAATATTTTATATTTTAAAATATTTTTTTTGCATTTTTTATATTTTAAAATATTTTATTTGTAAACATATATATATGTATTATTGTACATATAGTATGATTCAAGAAAACAATAAATTATTTTTCAAATTATTTTTCTTTTCTATTCTTCTTTTCTGCTTTCTAACAGAGGGAAACAACAAGGCAATGGTTTTATCATTTGTTATGCGAAGTTTTTATTTATTTATTTATTTATTATTTTTAATTTGAGAGTGAAAATTTTGAATCACAATCTTAGAGTTAGGGGGAAATACCTTACAATACATATAAAATTATTGAGTGACAAGACTCAAGTACGATTTTGCAAGGTGATTTTGTTAGTTAATCTGTATTTACTTTATTTTTTTTTTATGGTTGATTTGAACCTTTATATATGGTCATACGTTGTTAAGAATTAGCTAATTAAATTATTAATTCAAATTAATTAAAGTGCAAAAGAAAATGAAGAATCCTCAGACTAGGGTAGGTAGCCTTGCGGCTGCGGTATACACGAACGAAGGATAAATTTCTACTTTTGTGGGAGGAATCTGACAGCATTTAGACCAAAATTAGAGCGTCAACTTCGAGAGAAGAGAAGACGTGTGAAGAATGATATGGATCATAAAAAAAAAAGTTTAAATGCCAAGGGAATTTTTAATTTTGAATTTTTTTATTTTAAATTATTTTTTTTACCTTTTTTATTTTTAAATTAAAAATATATATATTTTCTGTCTTTATTTCAATTTAGTCCGTCAAGAATATCAAATATTTTTAGTTTTCAAATTTATAATATATATACATTTTTAGTTTTCAAACATATAAATTCATGGACTAAAAATAGGTTTGCGAGGAAAAATCCATAACTAAAAAAATTTTGAAATTGATCAAAGCCATAACTAATAGGTAGAATTTGACTAAATTTTTGGGTTTTTTTAATTAAAGACCAAACTGAACTAATTTTAAATGATTTAAATTTTGATTACTAATTAAGTTGAAAAACCAAAAACGGCAAATAAAGTAGGCATAATCGAAAAATTTACTCCAAAAACCTTTTATATAAAACTTTTAATGGTTTTTAGATTTTCTATGGTTTTTTTGGCAATTTTCACTAAATTATTTATTTGTTTGGGTAATTTTTAATTTTTAAAATTGAAATTAATAAGATAACAATTAAGAAATTTAAAAAATATTAAAAATATAAAAATAATTTTTTAATTAAAACAGAAATAGATCTAAGTAGTTATTTAAAAAAATGTAATCAAAATTGATAAAATTCATTTTTTTTCCAACTTAGTTAATAGTCATCAAAATTCAATATCCAAAATTTTAGTTAACAAGCAGCTCAATTTTGATTATAACCAAAACAAAATCATGTTTACTCCTAATTAAAATATATATAGACATATTTAAAGAATTAATTGACAAAAAAGATTTAAAAATAAATTTTTTATTATTTAAGAATGAAAAAATGTAAAAAAAAATAAAAACTAAAAAATTTAAAATTTAAAATTTAGAACCTGAAAATGACAATTAAACCAGAAAGGGGAAAAAAGGAGTAAAGATTGATGGTAAATTTGATCCGTATTCAATGGAGAAAAAGAGAAAAAGGGTATCAGTAGGCTGTAGAAAGTGCGAAGACTGATGATCGACACAAGGTCAAATGATGAACTGAGTGTCCTGTCCGACAGGCCGCAGCCGTCCATAAATTCTTTTCACACCTGGTCATGTTACATGCTTTGCTTTACTTAGCATGTATGTGCCAACTGCTTTTCTTTTCCCTTACCCACCATTTTCCTGGCGCATATGTATAATCTTTTATTTTTAATGAAAAGTCATGTAAGAGAATGATGCTTTATTTTTTTAAAAAATTTATCTTTAAATTAAAATTTTAATTTTTTAAATTATTTCAATTATTTCTTGGTAGCATCTTTTTTTCACTAGTTTTAGATTATAATAAAAAATAAAAATTTAATGACCAATAAATTAGCTGTTAATTTTTTTTTAAGTGTTTCGAAAGAGTTAATTTTCAAGTGATTGGGGAGAGATAAATTCCTACCCTCAAAGCTGTAGGGTTCAAACAATTGAACTATTAAGCTGACTCGATAGTTGATGGGAATCAAGATGACCCCACATGTATCACATCAAGTCATTACACATTTCAAGAGGTTCGGTCACAAGAGCTAGAGTTAGAAAGATGCGAGTAGCTTTAAATTGCTTTATTGATCAGATCTGGATTGATAACAACATGCAACAAGTAAATCAAAGCTTGAATGATTATCAAGGCATGGTAAACATCATTCAGATTTAAGAGAAGCTTAATTGAGGTCATTTATGCTAAATTACACAGTTTGTGTCAAAATCTCGCAATTCTGTCGTAATTTGTAATAAACTAATATTTCATTTTACTTTAGGTTACTTTCAGTAATTTTCATGTTTTTTGTTTTATTTTGAGCTGAACATTCATTTATTTGAGGCCCAATTTGTGGTTATTAGGATTAGGGTTTAGGGTGTTAGTTTCCTATTCTTATTAGAATTACTTTTCCCTATTTAAAAGGCTTGTAATCCTAATTGGAAAGCTATTGAATCTGAGTTTTTAAGAGACTTTTTTCTTTGGTTCGTTTCAAAACTTTACAGAACTTATCAAGATTATTCTTGTGGTGTTTTAACCTGACTTATCAATCTCGTTCTTAATTGCTCGAGGGTGTGGCGTTAACCGACTTTATACCTCTAGTTCTTGTTGTGTCGTAGACAACGGGTCAAGGTTTTTACCTTTGGTTTTTGTTGCAAAATAAACAATGGGTCAAGGTTCTATTATAAACCTGATTTGGCTTTCTTGGAGTTTAGAAATCCCTTGTCATGCTGTGGGTCTCATTGTTCTCTTTGAGGTTCTCATCAATAGTCCATATTTTAAACTTAATTAAAGGATAAGTTCAAACGAAACAAGTAATTTCCTTACAAGCAAGGAGAGTTGTTTCTTGTATACTACATAGAGAACTGAAGGAAAACACTAAGCTAGCTGAAAAAGATCAGGCCCCTTATTTGGATAAAAACCCCATATTCAACCAGTAATTTTCTTTTGCCTCACAATCACTGTCCAAAAATGAAAGGTAACCTCCTTTTTCCCCATCCATCCATTTGCAGATGATTTTCCAATATCAGTTACAGGGTGCCAATTTTTTGCTATTTCTAATTAATGTTGTTAATGTGTATGATTATAATCTAACACATTTTGTTATCGAAAATGATATATTTAAAATATCACATGATATTTGTTGACGGATGAATTTGTCTGGCTTTGAGATTGATGACATGTGCAGCTCCATATCAGCAAAGGCCCATGTAACTTATTCTCCACATTGGACATGCATTCTTGTTTTCTGCTGATTACAACAATAGAGTTAGCATCGCCAAAAGCAGCATTCATTTACTTTGCTAGAATTATTGCAGAATGTAGCCCATTTTAGCATCTATTTTTATATACATGGCCAAACATAGCTAAATCTATTTCCACGATATGGTTGGACGTTTTTTACTGTCATGTCCTCCGCAACAATATTCACTGCTACATCTTGTGGCTCTTAGTAATGGACAAAGGACCAAATTCATTATCTTATTTAGCCTCCAACAATGGGTAAAAGGCTACATAGTTCTGCACACCTTTATTATATCGACTCCCG